GAAGTAATACAATGAAAAGGAAAATATATCTAATACTATTCAATGCCTTCCTCCCTTCAAAGTTGAAGAAGTCAAGAACTAGAAAATAAAGAGTGCAAACAAAGCTTCCATGAATGCAGGGTCCCCCGAGACCCTCAGACATAGTGGACATATGAGGACATAGAGGAGAGACAGGAGCAGATGACAAGGCTGGAAGAGGTAAGAGCCAGTAAGCGGCAAGTAGATTAGAATCCACTCCTTAACACCAAGCAAAAAAAAAAAAAAAGTGAAATATGGGAATATGGTTAATTATGGTAGTCAACTTTATTTCATTTTCTTTTTTGGTTATAGTATACAGTTTTCTACAGGCTGAGGGGACTGAACAAGTGCAGAAGAAGATACTGAACATGAAAGAAAAATAGAATGACTAATCAAGCAAATTCCCAAGTGAAATGGGAGAAGAAAGAGCAAAAACACAACTGGAACATTTAAGATGAGAGGAATCTGAAATTAAGATTAGAGGAATTGTCTGGTTTAAAAGAAAATAAAAGAGAAATAGCTATTGATTATAAAGACTAGGTCATGAATGGTGTGAAATTCCATATTTCTAAAGCATCTTTATCTATAAAAGAAAGTTTCAAAAAAATAAGACATGGTACATTCTCTTTTAAGGAAATTCTGTAGGAATAACTTTTCATTCCCCTCTCTCCCATTCTTGAAAGTTTTCTAGTAGTCAGCATTGACATTATAACATGATTTACTTCTGAGCAGTCATTACATTTTTCTAAGCTCTTTCCAGTATCCCCTAGTAGATAGTTTCACTAGATAAAATTAACTACCTCAAACTGTCGCATTTTAAATAGAGGCTAATATTTCCACTGATTAGCAATCATTTTACTTTTTGCTATTGTATCATTAGAGACTGTCTTAACAGTTTCAAGTTGTTAAAATACCGGGTGTTTTACTTCAGTCTTTTAATAAATCACTACAGCAACTATTCATGCAGACAGGATAATAGCACCAGAAAATCGATCACCAATCATTGAGTCCTAATTACAATTACCCAGGTAAAAATCAATCCTATAATTTTAGATGAAGGCAAAAATACTAATTTTTCCCTTGTACTTAATTAACTAAGAAACTCAAAGCCACTTCTGCATCCTACCTCTCGAAAAACTGTTTGACACAATGATGACTATTATTATGAAAATGGACTTCAACATCAGGAGATGACTGAAAATGTATTTTCTATTTATATGGTTCCTTTTACTTCAGAATCTCAAAGTTGTTTGACTTTTTCAAATTCCTATTACATTGGCAAGCATTAAACCAAGCATCAGGCAGGAATGTTACCAGAAAAGTAAATCACAGGAAGTCTGAGTGAGTTTCTCATCCAATGTAATATCAATTTGTTTAATATCTGAGAATAGCATTTAGAATTCAAGACAGATGCCTGTGAATTCTAAATCAATTTCAAGCCAACATGCCTGGGAAATAAAAAATGCTAAAGCATTCATTATGTAAATATGGAATAGAAATGTGTAATTCTGTTACAAAGTAAAGAGCAACAGAACACTATTTTTAGTTAGAAAATTTCAAATATCGTTAAGTGCTATCCAGATTTTCTGGTGTAGCATTACACCAGTAGTATCATTATTACTTTTGAGAAGGTACCAAAATTAATTGCATTTATTAAATAACAGTTTTTAGGGATCCACACCAAATGGAATTACTATCTAATTCTACCGCTAATTGAGACAGTTCCACATGTTGATTTTTGTCAACATCTGATAAGCAAAATTTTAGACATTAAATAATGCTTTATGCAATTTACATAGCTTGAGAACAAATACCCATTTAATAATGGAATATTACTTCGTTAATATACTTAGCTAATAGAATATACAATTACTTAGTTAACATATACTTAATGTAAAAATAAACCATCTAGTTAATATGTATAATGATGTATAAAGCTAATCAACTATAATTAGTGAATTAGTTAATATGCCATTTTTTATTTGAAAAAATAGCTTCAATTATTATATTCATGTGTTAATTTCCCAAAGCCTTACTTGTCCAGCATGAGAAGATGCGACCCTATTAGAACAGGTGGGAAGTACACCAACATATTTTACTAATAGATTTTCCCCATATGGCCTTATGTTTTTATCTTCTGAGTCTAAAGGTATAATACCCAGTGATGCCTCAATTGTAAAATTCTCTGTGGCTAAAGGCTCCTTTTAATGAAAATCATCGAGATAGAAGAAGAACGGGAAGCTGCAGGCATCACGCTCTTGGGAAGAAGGTGGCAGCAGCTGAAGAGTCTGGACTGTCCCTCAAGAGAGTCCTCTGTATGTGCACGGCTACATTATTACCAGGTCCTCACTTAGGTTTTACTGTTTACTTTTTTATTATAAAATAAACTATGATTATAGTGCAATTGATCAAAATCTAAATAATCTACCTATTCTAAATTTTAAAAAGCACCATTTCCAAAAAAAGAAAGCATCATTTCATGAAATAATTTTGTATTTGACATTGTTATTTTCTATTCTGTTTAACTGATGAGACATTTTTATTCTAATGTACTCACTAAAATTTAATATGGCATGATAATGTGTTAATATCTAAGTGCATGACCTACTCACTTTTGTTTCCTTAAATCATGGGTTCATCCATTCCTACTCTAGAAAAACAAACCAACAAAAAACCCTTATCATCACTCTATCAAGTTCCAAAAAGACATCCTCTTAGAATTTTTATAGGGACTGTATGAATCTTACAAAAATCGATAGGGTCAATAGTTTTTCCTACCTAGGACCCTGACATCTTTTACCAAAAAGGAAAACTTATTCCTTGTAAAGGGTTCCCTAGAGGCTCTGATGGTAAAGAATCTGCCTGCAATGTGGGATACCTAGGTTCTACCCCTGGATCAGGAAGATCCCCCGGAGAAGGGAATGACAACCCACTACAGTATTCTTGCCTGGAGAACTTCATGGCCAGAGGAGCCTGGCAGGCTACCATCCATGGGATCACAGAGTCGGACACAACTAAGCGACTTTCACTCACTCATTTACCCCTTAGTAGAGTAATACAATTTCCTCTCTTATGTCCTCTACATCTGTATCAGGATTATTTCCAGCATCTACAAATAAATAAAATTAAGTATTAAAATAATAATTTTTAAAATTATTTTGTAGATTAAGTAAAATAAAAGTATTGTTTTTACTGTTCATTTTGTAAACAGGATCTCTTTTCCATTATTCCATTTTTTCTTTTTTTTTACAGTATGGATATCTAGTAACTTCTATACATTTATTTTAAAATTGATAAACTTATTGAAGTGTCTTATTAGTTCTAATGAATTTTATGTTGTCTCCTAAACCTTTGTGAATACACTACATATTAAGGCCCAATTTCTGGTAAATACTTGAAATTTATTACAATTAATCCTTATAAAATACTTTGGAAATAATATATAGTCTCAGTTCAGTATGTATATATATTTCTTTGACTAACTGAAAAAAATAAGGGAAAGAGGAGAGCCACCTGTGAAAACAGGGAAGAATTATCTGTGTGTGCGTATTATCTGGGTATATGTGCGTGTGCAGTGACTCAGTCGTTTCTGACTCTTTGCCACCCCATGGACTGCAGACTCCTCTCTCCATGGGATTCTCCAGGCAAGAACACTGGAATGGGTAGCAATTCCCTTCTCCAGGGGATCTTCCATACCCAGGGATCAAACCTGGGTCTCCTACATTTCAGGAGGATTCTTTACTGAGCCACTAGGGAAGTTCTTATCTGTATACTAAGTGTTATAATTATCTCTCCTTTATATCATCCATTTCCATGACTTTAACAATCATTTCCTCCTGGTCCTCTTTTCTAACAGGCCAAAAATTCATGTCTACACATCCAAGAGCAAAATCATCATTTTTTTCCACAGCTGTTAAGTAACTGATTTTTCTCCTGTGAATTTCTACTACATTGTATTTTATCGTTTAGAGTCTTAGTTCATTCTTTGTCCTTTTTCTCCTCTACAGGAAAACAGAACTCTTAAAAGCAGATGCTAATTATTTATAAATGTCTGTAGCTCACAACACATATAGGCTCTCACTGAACATGGGATGAACTCAACTGAATTCCAACTTCTCACAGATGGGCTATATCCTGACCCAGAAGTGGTGAGAGCTGTTAGCCTGGACTGTTGATGACAGGCATCCTTCCAGCTTATTTTGTTGCCTCGAATATACCCAGGCTCACTGAGCCCTCCTTCCACTGCTTCCCTCACTGGGACAAACCCCTAGAAACAGCAGGTTCAGAATATGAGTCATTCATGGGACTAGCAGAGGTGCCACCTGGGGCGGGGTGAGGCAGCGCTGATGCAAGGAAGACCAGGATACTGGATAGGATGAGAGGACAATGAGTCTGATCGCCAGGGACTGAAAAATCAAGAAACTGAGAGCAATCCTTTACTCAGACACAACATATGGGTATTGTACACCTACACTGCCTAGGACATTTGCCTCTTCAATAATGAAGTGCTGTGTGCTTAGTCGCTCAGTCGTGTCTGACTTTGGGACCCTTTGGACTGTAGCCTGCTGGGTTCTTCCCCCAGGGGATCTTCCTGACCTGACCCAGGGATAAAACCTGCATGTCTCCTGCACTGCAGGCGGATTCTTGACTCACTGAACCATAGGGGAAACCCTTAATAATGAAGGTAAACTTGCAAATTATAAACTGTCCTTACTATAACAGTGAGGAAATTTACAGTATTCAGGGTTTCTGCTCGAACACGATTAGGTTCTTAAATATAGTTGTCAGTTCCTTCAAAGACCAGTACTAGGTTTTACCAAGATGTCAGACTCCTAGTAACAGTGACATATCATGTAGTTTATCTTACTATTAGAAGCCTCCAAAAGAGGTAAATCAATGTATACTATCTTGGTATTCTTCATCCCTAATACATTTTCTCGGTGAAAGCACACTCCCTCTGGACACATGACCCAGATGCTTACATCAAACTCGTTCAGAGCCGCGGCCAGCTCCCCGATGCCCGTGTGGCCTTTGGCTTCGTCGGTGGGAGAGGTAGCTTGAGCAGCGTTGGAGATGCCGGCAATGGCCTCCTGGACTTGTTTGAACACGTAGTCTCGATTGGCTCTGGTGGCAGCCACGTCCGGGTGGCGGAGAAAAGCTTGGGAGGCCGTGTACAGCATGGTGGCGTTCTTCTTCAGAGCTCCTCGGGCGGCGGCCATCTCATCTCGACAGTGAGGGTCTTTCAGCTCCTGCGTGTGCAAAACACAAATGTGAGGCTTGCCGTCAAAGTATCTGCAACAGAGCTTAGAGTCACAGGCTTCTGGGACCACATCAATTTTATTTGTATTCAGTTAATACTTTATTTGTTTATAAGATGCTGTGTAATGACTATATTATATGCGGTATTTGTATGTCATTAAATCTAATTTGTATTGATCAATACAAAGGTGAAAAAGTAGAACTGTAAGACATGAGTTTGAGCAAACTGCAGGAGATGGTGAAGGACAGGGACGCCTAGCGTACTGCAGTCCATGGAGTCACAAAGGGTTGGACACGACTTAGCAACTGAACAACAATATAAAAAAAAATACTTATAGTCTCCGAATTCCAAGTCGAGATGCTCATTTCATGATATATATTATTTAAGTTACCAATCTAAAATGATAACATAAAACAATTTTGTGCCTGGGAAACTCCATATGACCCAGCAATCCCACTACTGGGCATATACCCTGAGAAAACTGCAATTCTAAAAGACATGTATACCCCAATGTTCACTGCAGCACTATTTACAATAGCAAGGGCATGAAAGCAACCTAGATGCCCATCGACAGATGAATGGATAAAGAAATTGTGGTAGATTTATACAATGGAATATTACTCAGCCATTAAAAGGAACAAATTTGAGTCAGTTTTAATGAGGTGGATAAAACTTAAGCCTCTTATACAGGCTGAAGGAAATCAGGAAGAGAAAAACAAGTATTCTATATTAATGCATATATATGGAATTTAGAAAAACGCTACTGATGAACTTAGTTGAAAATGGTCTTGTGGACACAGCGGGGGAAGGTGAGGGTGGGATGACCTGAGAGAGTAGTATTGACATATATATACTATCATGTGTTAAATAGATAGTGGGAGGTTGCTAAATAACAAAGGGTGCCCAGCCTGGCGCTCTGTGATGACCTAGGAGGGTGGAATGGGGAGAAGGGGAGAGAGGCTTAACAGGAAGAGGATATATATATATACATATATATATATATATGATGTCAAAATAGTACCCACTGGGAAGTTTCTTTATTTTTCTTTAGTTTTCTTTAGTTTCTTTATTTTCAGCTTTAAAGAGTATTACAATTATATTATAATATGTAATATGATTATATTATGATTATGTATGATTCACATTGTTGAACAGCATAAGCCAACACAAAATTGTAATTTAATCCACCAATTAAAAGTAAATAAAGTTTTTAAAAAATGCAATATGAATTTAAGAATTACATGTCAATGTAGGAAAACAACTGAAGAAGAAATATTTTTTCTACATATATTTTAGAAACCATCTCCTCTCTCTAGCTGTCAAAAATTTGTACATACTGCTCTTCCCATGTGAAATATCTGAGCTTCCCTGTTCCAGCCGATCCTTTCCCTTGATGGGGCCCATCTCCTGAAAATGCAATCTCCATCCAACTCTGTAAGTTACCTCTCCTTCTAGCTGCTCCCGTAAGGCCCTCCTCCCTCCAATCATTAAAATGCATCATGGTTTACTGCATTTACATAAGCATATGTCTTTCTCCTAAACTGTATGTCTAATGAGAGCAAAGAGCCCCAGCTTTCTTGTTCAGTGGTTCTTCAGTCGATAGCACAATGTCTGACTCATAAAAATGCATCCAATAAATAGTGCTGCAAGAATGGAAAAACTGAGCCACCAACAAAGTAAGTGGCTTGCGTCGATCAGTTAGTTATCAGCAGATGGAAAACCCAAACTTCAATCTTCTGATACTGTGCCTGCCTCCATAATCAATTACAATTACAAACATGGGAAATCAAACTCATCTGATTTTGCTTACTGCATCACTGGCACTTCATTATCATTTTCAGAATAGGGTTCAGTTTTTTTTAAAAAACCACTTTAAGAAAAATTTAAAAAAATAAAATAAAAAACCACTTTTGATGGCAGATCTATCATTTGAGTTGAGGAAATAATAAAAAAAATAGATCACAGATGATTTGCTTTCTAAGTTTTGGATGTCAAAATAGTATCACTGGGTAGACTCTTTTATTTTCAGCTTTAGAGAGTATTGTTAAGAAAATGTTCACAGTATTTTTGGAAATATTAAAGGCAGTACTGTTCTCTCAGAGCTATGTAAGACTGCCAGCTGAGCATCTCTGGGAGAAAATTTCTCTAGTTTCAAAATGTATCATTAGAGGGTATTTGAACCACTGGGGTTCTATCCCTATTTGCTCAGTTGGTACATGAAAGATGGATGACCTGGAAACAGTAAATTGCATCCTCTCTTTTTTTTGGTCAAAATAATTCTGAGACAAGCACATTATATTTGATATTTAGGATTGGTAAGACAAACTGACAATAAGAAGTAAACAACCAGACTTCCCTGATGGCCCAGTGGAAAGGAATCTGCCTGCGAATGCAGGGGCCATGAGTTCGATCCCCCATCCAGGAAGATCCCACATGATGTGGGGCAACTGAGCCCACGTGCCACTACTTCTGAGCTTGTGTGCCACAACTACTGAAGCCCACGTATCCCAGAGCTGCACACTGCAACTACGAGCCCCTGGGCTGCAACTACCAAAGCCCATGGGCCTACAACCTGTGCTCTGCAACGGGAGAAGTCACTGGAATGAGAAGCCTGTTAGCTGCAACAGAGAGTGGCCCCTGCTCACAACTAGAGAAAGCCCCCAAGCAGCAACAAACACTCAAATAATTAAAAATAATGAAATAAATAAATTTATTTCAAAAAAGCACTAAACAATTGAGCCGTCTATCTCCTTCTGCTTAGGCACTAATAGATCCATGCCAGTCAACAGAATTTCTAAACCGAGACAACTTATTTTTAGCCCTAAAGCTCAACAAAGATAAATAGGGAACCAGTATGTGAGGGAATCCTTTACACTGGACAATCTAGGCAGTGCCATTGGAAGTTATCAAGGGTCTTAATTAACTTCCAGAACACCTGGCCAGAAATTTTATATTACATTCTGGGATATCTATACTAATAAGAAAATCTAAATATGAAAGTGAGAAATACAGGGTAGGAAATTCTTTCCATTAAGATATTTTTAGAAACATTTTTAACCACATTGAAGAAAATTGTAAACAATGTAAATGCTGAGTTATGAAGAACTGGTTAAGTAAACTACTGAAGTTCTCATTTGATGGACTCGTTGTGAAGTGAAAGTGTTAGTTGTTCATTCATGTCTGATTCTTTGTGACCCCATGAACTGTAGCCCGCCAGGCTCCTCTGTCTAGGGATTTCTCTAAGCAAGGATACTGGAGTAGGTAGCCATTCCCTTCTCCACAGGATCGTCCCAACCCAGGGCTTGAACCCATATCTCCTGTATTGCAGGCAGATTATTTACCATCTAGCCACCAAGGAAGTCCCTGGACCCTTTATGTGGATATTAAAAGAAGTTTCCATAAAATAATAAAATGGGTAATATAAATAAAAAGGAGACTACAACATGAATACTTATATGTATAGCATGAATATAAATGTTAAAATATGAAGATAAGCAACTGAAAGGCAATCTACCAAAATATAAGTACCATGTTTTTGTGGCTGATAGATGGCTATGTGCCTTTTTTTCCCTTCTGTTCTAACTTTTCTTGAAAGAGTTTGAAATAGGTACTAGTTAAAATGATGTTAATGAGATAAAAATAAATCATATGTATGGGCATTCTGAGGTGAATATCTCATATTATTCCCATGGATTTTAATACCAGTTACATGCTGATGATTTGATGAGGTTTGATCGCCCCTCATCTCTCTCCTATTTAACATTTCTACATGGATATCTTATAAAAATCTCAAAATCAATGTATCTTGATACCACTTGATACCACTGGAAGACTGGCTGCTTTCCAGTCTTCATCAATCTCAGTAAATTCACCAGCATGTACATATTTGCTGAGACAGAACCTCAGATGTGAACTGGTCGCATCACTCCCTAACCTCCCATAGCCACTTCCACAGCAGGTCCTGAGTGTTCTATTTTCAATGTAAATTTGGACTCCCTAGGCTTTTCTCCATCTTTACTGCTGCTACACTAATGAGGACCATCTCTGAGGCAGAAAGGTCAGGGCAGGGCCCCAGGACGGCCTCATCAAGTGCAGGCATTAGGCAGAAGACAAAGTCACCTCTTTTTTTTTCTCTTAATGAGACCACAGTGCATGAAGGAATGGCAACTAAAACCGAAACTCTGCAGCATCTGAGCAAGAAACTCTGAGCATGAAAACCATGGAGCAGGTACAATATAATTGCACAGGCTGCTGATGACCCTGTAGGACCTTCCACATGTGGTGCCTGATGTGGGAAAATTTAAGGGGAAAAACAGCTCTTAGAATACCTGTAGCACGGCTTTAGGAGAAAAATGCCAGGACCAGGAGCTGATGCACACTGGTGCAATCCAGGACAAACATCAGCTCTTCCCTCAATGAATATTCAATCCTTAATCAAAAAGACCCCTACCCATTCAAAGGGCTACAAGATAAAAGGCAGATCAACAACACTGTGGGGCATTACCAGGTCCAAAGGACTCCCACACTCCTTTCCTTAACTTTTGCTTCTGCCCTGAATAAACTGCTACTTTGTTCTCTTTGCTCCTCAGCCCCAGAATGTGTGTTTATTTTTCCTTTGCACTTTTGTGTTCCTCAATTTTGGATGAGTTGAACAAGAGCCTGGACTTTAGACAAAGGTTTTCCAAAAAGTCACTCTTCTAGACGACTTCAGTCCCACCCATCTACAACTAGTCTCTCCTCTTTGACACTACCCCTTTTTTGCAATGTATCTAGAAAAATATGAAAATGTAAATCTGAGACTTTGATACCAAACTCCGAACTGTTCAACTTGCTACTTACTTACAATAAAATCAGAACACTCTCAAAACTCTGAGTGTCCTGGCACCCACCTTTCGCCCCAGCCTCCTGCTAGGTTCACTGAAATTAAGATAATGTAATTTTCTTTTTATTGTCAATGTACTTTTTTTTTGGTCAGGCTCAATAAATAGCTTCTGGGCCTTAAACCTTTGCTTCAAAGTGACTTCACTCCTAATCACACTACACATGGTGGGCTACCAAGCAAGATTCCCCCTGAACGAAGGATTCTGTTGATAACAAAATACCTGAAAGTAACCGCATGAACTAAAATCATACAAACTCTGGGAAATAGTGAAAGACAGGGAAGTCTGGCGTGTTGTAGTCCATGGGGTTGCAAAGAGTCAGACACAACTGAGCAACTGAACAACAAAATCATGCCTATGTGCCCATCACAAAGCACTAGAAGCTCTTTAGGGAAAGGGACAAGATCTTGGTCAGATTTATAACCCAGGTATTACTTCTGTTTGGTATAGATGAACACTCAAAATGTTGACTAGAAATTTCCTGCTGGTCATTGAGCACATTAGAAAAAGTCACTGGAAGTTGCCAGAAATCCTGGGAGCAGTCAAGAGGGCAGGTGAAGAGGATTTTAAATCTCCCCATATTTAAAGATGCTATTTGCTAAGAATAAAGAAAAAGACCCACTCTTCAGAACACACAATTCTAATGGTCCCTACAGAACAAACAGCTGGCCAATGGAGGTGCCATCCTAGGACAATGGGGAGCAGAGAAAACCCAGGCCAACCACCTTCATCAACATGACTCAATACCTGTGTTCTCCTTCCCTCTTCCGCTCCACTCTCTCCCTCTCTCCCTCTCTCTCTCTGCCTTTCCTCTATTTTCCTTCATGTTTTCTTAATCTCTTTCATAAAAGTTTTACTCTGCATGCTGCATACTTGGGAGAGGGTTGTTGTATATATAAGGTGCTGTCCACAGGGTGGGGAGGTAAAAACTGAAGGCAAAGTGCCCAGGGAGTGGTCACTGCGCCACACCAGTCTGACATTTTTTATTTCAATCAGGTCAGACATAGAGACCAGACCTGTGGTGTGAAGGGGGAGAGGTATCGGGAGGGATGGATTGGGAGTTTGGGGTCAGCAGATGCAAACTCTTACATGTAGAACGGATAAACAATAGGTCCTGCTGTTTAGCACTGGGATATCCAGAGTTAAAACATAATTCAGAGTTAAAACAACATCCAGAATTAAAACAATATCCAGAGTTAAAACAATATCCAGAGTTAAAACATAATGGAAAGGAATATTTTTAAAAACTGTATCTATATGTATAATTCAATAACTGCTGTACAGCAAAAATTCACACAACATATTATTCTAGATATGCTGCAAAAATGGGGCAGTGTCAAATTACAATTTTTAATGTAATTTCTTACATTAAAAAATAAGTAAATAAAGGTCAAAAAAAAAAGAGAAAGGTTAGAGCCTGGTGGGGTTGGCAGGGTGGTCCCCACCAGTAAGGCAGGTGGCCTGTGATTAACTGGATTAACTGTAAGTACCCAGGGGACTGGGAGTACCAGCAGTTACAATGGGACCAGAACTGATCCAAGTAGGAAACTGCCTTTGTGATCACAGGTCGTAGGGTATTTGATGATCTGACAAGCAGTTGATACAGTCGATGATGCATTGTCCAGGTCTACAAACTCCAAGATTATGTAAACTCACTCGCTTTCTCCCCTTGTTGTTGTTCAGTTGCTCATTTATGTCCAACTTTTTCAGCCCCATGAACTGCAGCACGCCAGGCATCCCTGTCCTTCACTGTCTCCTGGAGATTGCTCAAACTCACATCCATTGAGTCGGTGATGCCATCCAACCATCTGATCCTCTGTCGCCCCCTTCTTCTCCTGCCCTCAGTCTTTCTCAGCATCAGGGTCTTTTCTCCCCTAGATTTCCAAAATTTTTCCTACCTGTTGTCTTCTTGCAGCTACATAGTTAAGTTTCACCATCTCTTTTCCAAATTCTTTAAAGCGATTTGCAAGGTCTTGCTCATTTGTAGCATTTTTGACAGCTTCCAAGGCCTCCTCCACCTGAAACAAACCAACAAAAAAATCCAATATATTTATAACTGGATAGTATTTCAATATTGGACTTCACTGGTGGCTTAGTGATAAAGAATCTGCCTGCAACCCAGAAGATGCTAGTTTGAGTCCTGGGTGGGGAAGATCCCCTAGAGAAGGAAATAGCAAGCCAGTCCAGGATTCTTGCCTGGGAAATCCCATGGAGAGAGGAGCCTGGTGGGCTACAGTCCAAGGGTTGTAAAAGATTTGGACATGACTTAGCAAATAAACAACAGCAAATTTCAACATTGCTAAACATGTTAGAAACACTAGTTGTTAAAAAATGCATTAATATTTAAATAAAATAATAGGAAAAAAAGTACCCCAACAAGCATTTATAATCAGAAAATTACATACTATTTCTTATACAAAATATGCACGCATGCTGTCACTTCAGTCATGTCCTACTCTTTGTGACCCTATGGACTGTAGCCAGGCAGGCTCCTCTGTCCATGGGAATCTCTAGGCAACAATATTGGAGTGGGTCACCGTGTCCTTCTCCAGGGAATCTTCTGACCCTGGAATGGAACCTGCATGTCTTATGTCTCCTGCATTGACAGGAGGGTTCTTTACCACTAGCACCACCTGGGAATTCTTATATAAAAGATACTAATTGCTAAACTTCTAAATCATATAAAACACTACATTGTTTATATTTTGAGCTGTGATTTCCATAAGGAATATGGACTTTTACTTTCAAGTAGAAAGATAAAGAAGAATAAACTTAAGAAGACGTATGGATTTAAAAACAAACACCAGAAATCTTCACAGGAGGAAATGTTTTGTAAACAAAAACTAGAGGAACTCCTGGGCTGTGAAAAGCTTGAGATAGCGTAAATCTACATCTTGGCATCACCTCCAAATCTGCAGTAAAGGGATTGTAATTTCATTTTTATTTCATTTATTTATTTACTTATGGCTATGCTGAGTCTTGGTTGTGGCACACGGGCTCGTCAATGCTGCTGGCAGAATTTCCCTTGCGGTGGTGAGCAGGGTCTACTCTCTAGTTGCGGCTCTTGGGCTCTAAAATGTGGGCTCAATAGTTGTGGCGGATGGGCTTAGCTGCTCCAAGGAATGTGGAATCAGTTCTCAGGCCAGGGATCAAACCTGTGTTCCCTACATTGGCAGGAAGATTATTAAGCATTGGACCGCCAAGGAAGTCCTAGGGATTGTGATTTTAATCTATGATTGTGCCTTGCCATTCCATAAAGGAGAAAACAATGAGCCTCAAGAAGTAAGTGAATTTGAAGTTGTTTCGTTGCCATTTAAGGTGGCATCAACTAGGGTGAACAGAGTAACAATCACTGGAAATAACCAAGAACATAATCTTGAGTGAACAAGGCACAAGATGGAAACCACATTTGCAAAATCGAAAGTTCTTAGTTTTGAAGGAAGTCTGATGAAGAGGCCTCAACTAGTACAGGCTTTTGAGAAAGGCAGCAGAAAAATGAGAGAGAGAGAGAGAGAGAGAGGGATGGTAGCTCTGAGAGTTGGACTATAAAGAGGGCCAAGTGCCAAAGAATTGATGCTTTCAAACTCTGGTGTCTTTAGAGTTCCTTGGACAGCAAGGAGATCAAACTGATCAATTCTAAAGGAAATCAACCCTGAATATTCATGACTGACACTAAAGATCTAATACTTTGGCCACCTGATGTTGAGAGTCTACTCATTGGAAAAGACCCTGATGCAGGGAAAGACTGAAGGCAAAAGGAGAAGGTGATGGCAGAGGATAAGATGATTACATAGCCTCGCTGACACAACGGACATGAATTGGAGCAAACTCTGAGAGATAGCGGAGGACAGAGAAGCCTGGCATGCTGCAGTCCATGAAGTCACAGAGAGTCAGACACAACTTAGTGACTGAACAACAACAAAGCTCTAAAAGAGTAATAAAAAATACCAAGAATGTATGGCCTACTGCAGAATTCCAATTGCCTCTTGTAGTTTAGATTGAATCAAAAGACAACGTAGAGACAGTTCATGGTTGAGAATGTGGGGATCCAAATGACCATTAAAGTGGCTAGAAAAAGTCATAGATTAACACAGTGCCGAGTAATAGATATACAATTTGTTTAAACTTGACACAATTACAAAGATTGCTAATCCAACTTCCTCACTAAGTTTCACTGGGTGGAGGAAGAAAATGGTGTATATAAACCAGTGATAATGGATATCATCACATCCTTTCCTCCACAGATATTATAGTACCATTCAGTTTACCCAACAGACTAACATTCATTAAGGAAAGGGTTGCAGCCAGAATGAAGGTTATTTACAAAGAAGGTGAAAGGAGCTCAATCTAGCCTCCAGATAAAATTGTTTCCATTCTCATCATCGATGGAGATTCTCTATCTTTTTTTTCTTTCTATTTGTAAAAACACAAAATGATTTAATTCATCAATTTTAATCTTTTCCAATTCCTATGCAGGCTTTAATTATACTCAAGGGAAAGAGAAGTATAGTTGAAAACAGAACTGTTGTGTGTTAGGATGTTTTTTAGGCGCTCGAGTCAAAGGGCATTTTATAGTATGAAATGGCTCATTTAAACATTTTCATGGATTAATAAGAATCTCATATCTCAAACCTTTAAAACAACTCATCAGTGATGTTTCTTTCTAATAGATTTATAATCATTTTACCGTGGCTATCAACAGCGTCACTGAGAGGAAGCTGTTGGCAGTTAATTTGTTCCTGCTGCTTATTTGAGTTGCAAATCTTTTCTTGGGACATAAAATCTGGCCCCAGGGAAGAACAAAATAATTATCTCAGAAGGAACTAAATCTTGGAATTGTCTTATTTTATATATATATTTATATAAAACAGGCTTCTTTTTGGTTTTTAATCAGGCCAATTTGGAGTATTTATTTTGCTCTGTTACACATCACTTATTTTCTTATTGTTTTTCTCTGAAGAATCCAGATGCTGGTCTGAATTTATGTTTCTAATTCAATGAAGTTCCTTGGAAGAACAACACCAGTGATAGTGTCTGTCTGCGTAAAGCTAGACTTCGTCATACTCAGAGTTCCAGAGTGACAGGTTTCTAGTGAGAAGCTCTCATATCGAAACACACTTCTGAACCTACCCAACACCCCACAGAAATGGAGAGAATGGAATTAACATCTAGGATTTAGGATACCATCACCAGCCCAGTATACTGCTATTAAAGAGATAAATGATACATAGAGAGAGCAGGAGAGAGAAAGAGAGAGAATAAATACAAAGTGGAAGGGACACAGACAAGGAAGAAGAAAAAAATAACAGGGCGGGGGAGAGATGGGCACTTCCAGGCACTTCTGAAAAGTCAAAATCAATATGAAAATAAAGTTGTTGCTTTTGAACAGAGCTAATGTTCTTTTGTTATTTTCAGGTGTGTGGAGAAAGGAAATTGCCTCCTACATGCCAAGCAATGATTCCTCCTGACAGTTAAGGAGACACCAGAGACTCAGGTTCAATCCCTGGATTGGGAAGATACCCTGGAGTGGGGAATGGCAACCTACTCCATTATCCTTGCCTGGAAAATTCCATGAACAGAGGAGCCTGGTGGGCTTTAGTCCATGGGGTCGCAAAGAATTGGCCACAACTGAGCATACACACACAGAAGTGAAGCGAACATCTTAAAAGGTAATCCTTATGTAGAAGAGGAACCCAGGACACTTTATCCACTTACCTGCCCCACAGTGACACATATAGGTCAGGACGTGTAGGGAGGGCTATGGGGTCAGACTGGCCTGTGTTTGAGCCCCAGCTCTGTCATTTGTTAGCTCTGTGATCCAGGGCAAGTCACCTAACCTTTCTAAATTCCAACTCCAATGTCTTCATTAATAATATGAAGGCAATAGAGTCCAGATACTACAAAAGGTTGTTCTAAGGATAATATTAGATACAATATGAAGATAAGAAGAAATAAAAATGGAAAATATAAAATAAGGTGGTCAACTAAGTCCTAATATAGAATAAATATAAATGGCTAAATGCTTTCATTAGAAAACAGAAATTCTCAGATGGGGCCTTTATAAAGATCCTGCAATATGTCATCTATAAGAGACAATTTGGATAAAAAGATATAAAATGTTGAAAATTACAAAATGAAACCTTCTACACTAATGAATTTGAAAACCTACTTGAAATTGACAAATAGGTAAAATGCCAATATGATTTTAAAAAGAAGTAACAGAACTCAAATAGACCAAAGAATGTTATAGAAATTGACATGGTAGCCAAAGATGACTTTTCTGCTCTTTTCCCAAACAAACCAGGCACATTAGGTGGGGGGGAAATGAAAGGTAAAATAGCAAATATATTGCAGAATACCTGTCAAGAATTAGGACCTCCTTTCATAGACATGGGCTTCCCAGGTAGCTCAGTGGGTAAAGAATCACTTGCAGTGCAAGAGATGCAGGTTTGATCCCTGGGTACGGAAGATCCCCTGGAGGAGGGCATGGCAACCCACTCCAGTATTCTTACCTGGAGAATCCCATGGACAGTGAAGCCTGACAGGCTATATAGTTCATGGGGTCACAAAGAGCCAGACAGGACTGAAGCGACAGAGCCCATGTGTGTGCGTGCATGCACACGTGCGCGCGCGCACACACACACATACACAGATACACACACACACAGATACAGACTTGCTGTATAATCCACCTAAGGGTAAACATTGTTTCTGAATAATTGTAAAAAGGCAAAGACTACTTCTTGCTCTTGGACTATCTGCAGGTGACAAGAAATCTAGGAAGAGTGGAAGGATGTGGTGGTCTCATGGGGGAGCTGTGATAAGGGGAGTTTGCCGTGTCTCTGTGTGCCAAGCTGGATTGGGAAATCACTTCCAACAAGCTGATAAAGGGGGCTCTCAGGGCAGTTGCCACATCCTTCCCTGAAATGAGAATACCCTCCTGACCTTGGGTACTACTGACGGCTGTTCTCACAAAAGCCAGTCTGGGCTGAAGAACACCAGTGCAAGAACCCTCAGC